AATATTCCTGCCCCTCCTAATATGGCAGTTTTCCCAAACTACTGTACTTACATGTTTCTGCTTTGCTTTTGGTTTATTTGCATGATCTTTTTTTTTTTTGTCTATAAAACAGTTCTATTTTTCTTCAAAGGAAAGCAGTTAAATTCAGGTCTGTTTTCTCAGAGGGAAATGCCTTTAAAGCGAGCAGTGTGTCCTGTTTTATTAACTCCCAGTTCTATTAATATTATATTCTTTCTCCGAATCCATCAAGCAGAAGTTAAACTTGATTTTATAGCATCCACAGCGGAGTTATAATTTAAGGCATAATTTGGCGAGGACTCAATTTGGATTCAGTTTGCTAGTCCTGGTTGTGCCAACAGCTCCTATTTTAAAGGGCAGGGAAGTATTTTCTTTTCTCCCTAGTTTTCTCCAGCCTACCTCTGCTCTCTGCCTCTCCCGTGCCAACTGATGGACGGAGGAAACGCAATCGCTTCGCGCAGGTTTAGGAGCTTCCTACTTACATCTCCAGGAAAGCATCCAGGATTTGTCTGGGGTGTTAAATGACCTTTCTCCGTTTGAAAAAAAAAAAAAAACAAAACAAAAACCCAAGTGCACAATTTCAGTCGCTCAAGCGCAAAAGAGCCATCCTACCTGCCTGTAAGTACCAGGAAAACCTTGGAGTAATCATTTTCTATGCAATTTGGGGAGGAATTTGCCTTTTTTTTTTTTTGGCCGACTGGGGCAGGAGCCCTTCCCCGGACAAAGGGGCGGCAGCCCCGGGGTTATCAGTGCCCCGGCCGCGGAGGGGAGCGCCGGGCTCCCTTCTCCAGATTACAAGGCTTTGACCCATGCACGGGGGGAAAGAAGATAAAGCCAACTTCCTCGGTTGGTCGTCTCCTCTCGGAGCAAACCATCCTGTTGAGCTAATTCCCCCCTCGGCTCGCCCGAAGCCCCGGCGTTAAATGCTTTGTCTGTGTCGCAAGGAATAACAGAGGGGATGGGACAGATGCGCAGTGAAGGGTAAAGGGGAAGGGGGATGAAAGGGGAAGAAGGATGGAGAAGAAGGGGAAGAAGGATGGGGAAGGAAGATGAGGAGGGAAGGAAGGGGGGGAGGGGAGGAAGATGGGGAAGGAAGGAAGGAAGATGGGGAAGGAAGGAAGATGGGGAAGGAAGGAAGATGGGGAAGGAAGGGACATGGGGAAGGAAGGAAGATGGGGAAGGAAGGAAGATGGGGAAGGAAGGAAGATGGGGAAAGAAGGAAGATGGGGAAAGAAGGAAGATGGGGAAGGAAGGAAGGAAGGAAGGGGATAAAAAAGGGGAGGAAAATGAGAAGGAGGGAAAGGAAAGAAGAAAGAGGGAATAGGGGGGCAGGGAAAGGGGAGCCGAAGCCCTCGGGAGGAGCAGCGGGAGGAGGGAAGGAGAGGTGATGCAGTTTGCCTGGGCAAGGGCCAGCCCAGCCCCTCACCTTGTGGTTTTGGTAGGAGGTGACAGCGATGAAGGCGGTCTCTGGGAAGACATGGGTGCAGAAGGCGGTGTTCTTGGAGCCGAAGCCGTTGTTCTCATCTGCTTTCACGATGTGGAGCCGGGGCTGGTATTTATGCATGGAGTTCAGGATGATCTGGGCAAGGGGAGAAGGAGAAGACATCCCTTGGGAATGGAGGGGACACAGCGTGGCGCACACACACGAGGAGGGGGAGAGGAAGTCCTTGCACCCCCTTCTCCAAAATCTTCACCCTCTTCAAGGCTCCCCCAGAGGACTGATTGAGATGCTGGGGTAGGAGGACATCTCTCTTAAGAAACCCACCCCCGCCGCCGCCTCCCCCGTCCCGGGGGTTTAAGCAAATTGCTTTGACATCCAGGAAAGTCGTAGACATCAACGGTGAACGATCTAATGGTTTTTAATTTCATTACAGCGACTCTAATTGAGAGACTCCTGGTGCAGCTCCTCCTCTGAAGTCCCTTATTGTCCCCTCAGCGCCTTGGGTTTGTTTAGAGGGACTTTTCCCCCCACCTTTCCAGGCCTTTCACAGCCCCCCAAATCTCCCAGTTCACCACCATGATGGTTGGGGCACCTCAGACTGCCACCCCACCCCACCCCAGGGGGGCAAAGAGGGAAGAAGGGGCAGGGAAGCGGAGGGAGGGAAGGATTTAGTGTGTGTATGTCCCCCCCACCACCCTCCCAGAGGATGGGAGAGGAGGGTGGCGGG